TGGTAGCCGGGCACCATCTAGTTCTTCTGGTCTCATAGTCATATAGGCTGCAGATTGGATGGTGTACCAGTCACTAGGACTGATTGTATCCATGAAATTTTTGGTTTTCTTCATTCTTCTTTGCTCTGGATGAGGAGAGACCCATTATTGCACCTAGATGGCTGCTTGCAAGCTTTTAAGATCCCAGTCACCACTCACCAAAGTAGGAGGTGAAACAATGTTTTGTGTAGTATGTTATGCCAATTGAGCTTGATGTCCCCTGCAACTATGGTCCCAAGCTCACAGATTCAACTACTCTGTCCCTCTGGGTAGCTGGCTGTGACCAAGCACTGAGTACCACCTTGCCTCTTGTCAGCTCTACTATATACCTGGGAATTCAGATCATACACATAAACTTATAGGACTGTTGTCTGCCAACCCTATACATTACTGAACAAGAATTTTCATCTCAAGGTCTGCTTCTGGGCACCTGACAGAAGATAGGCATTTGGGAGGTTATGTTTTATTTTTCAGAAAAGAGATATTCCAGCATGATTTTATGCTGAGGGAAATGATCTGGTAAAGAGGGGAAAGTTGATCAAGCAGGAGACTGCTGGAATGAGGCCCTTGAGTAAGTGGAGGGGATTGTCCCAAGCATAAGAGAAGGCATTGGCATGAGAGTAATAGCTCACTGATTGCTGTTGTTGTTAGTGTCCATCAAATCAGTTCTGACTCATAGCAACCCCATGTGTGCAGAGTAGAACAACACTTCATATGGTTTTCAAGTCTGTGACCTTTCAGAAGCAGATCATGAGGCTTGTCTTCTGAGGCACCTCTGGGTGAGTTTGAACCACCAAGCTTTCAGTGAGTAGCCCAGCACTGAACCATTTGCACCACCCATGGACTTCCTCATTGCTGGCCCCAAGAGAAACTAGAGAGTAAGAGTCAAGGAGCAGGTAGGTTGGTAGATATAGTGGTAGAAGGTAGGGATCTCTTTGGATGACTCCACTTGGTAGTGAAAGGAAGGAGAGTGGAGGGTGGCAGAGAGCTGAGGAGATAAGAAAAGGTATAAAATAGTCTGAGAGAACAAGAGGGTGACCTAACTAAGGCAAAGTCACACAATTGCTGGGAACCACCTATTTGAGGTTTGTGATCATAAGTTTAAGATAAGATTAATCTGCAATCTTGTTTTAACATCTGCCACATCCGAGAATTCCAGATCAGATATGGAATAAGTACAGACATGGTATCAACCAGAGTGTGCATTCTGGCAGTTGAGTAAAACTAAGGGAAAAGCACAGGTGTTAAGAGCAAGTAAAAGAGAATGAGGTTAATACATGGCCCTAAACTAGGAAAAGAGGGAATGAGGACACAGGCAGTGTGTTGATGGTGGAAAGATGGTAGGTAGGGTCAATGAACTCACTAGAGGTCCCAATGACCTTGAAGATTGCTTGAGCAGATCCTAAAGGAAATGTAAGTATAAGAGGTGGTTGTCAGAGAGATGTATGCTTGAAATTAAGACTTGAATGTAAGTACACATATTAAGGATGACAAAGTTTATTGGATGCATGATTGGAGGTACAAGGAGGATAAGCTCATATAAAGGAGGTGGGGGAGGTTAGGGATAAATGCAGAGTGAAATAATGGAAAAATACATATTAAAATGAAATTTCCTTTGTTCACAAAAAGTCCACAGTTGGTATACATTACTATACAATAAGAAAAAAATTATTAAATATAATCAGACATATTTACTCAAAAGTAAAAGAAAAAAATCCCTATATTTACTGGTAAGTCAACTCCTACAAGTACCCAGACCACAAAACTCATAAAGTCATTTCCATTCTAGAATTGTACCAATATTGCTCAAGCATCTTACAGATTTAAAAGGAGACCAAATGAGAGATGAGTTTCAAAGTATATTTACTTTGCTTCAAGAAATGCCTGTTTTACATACATGTATATATAAATTTGCATTTACACTAAGAAACTGGAGTTATCTGTTGGATGAAGGGAGGAGGACTGGGCAATATAGCAAACAAAATGGAAGCAAGACTTTTCTTGCGTACATTTTTATATTTTTTATCCAAATAATGTAAAGCTATTACCTATTCAAAATTACATTTAAAAAGTAAAAATGGATCCAGTTTTTTAAATTTTCTTATAAAAATTAATATTTGTGAATCTATTGTGTTAAGAAATAGGGCCCGGGATTGCAAATTAAGAGATACAGATCCCTTCTCCACCAACAGTTTTGAGATTCTGGCAAGTTGCTTAACACTCTTGAGAGCCGGACCACCGGGTCTCTAGGGTTTTTCAAGCTCCCAAACCCATGGCTCCCATGTGTGGTTGTAAGTCCTCTCCCCTAGAAGAGTTAAGCAGAGGTGTAGAACGATGGAGTAAGAGTCTGTCAGGGGGTGAGGGAGAATTGGAGAAGGTTTCAAACAGATTAATCACTGGCACCTGATCAAAAAAGATCTATGGACAGCTAGCCATCCACACTACAATAAAAAGTTCAGTGTAAAGTTCATGAATTTCTGTGGGTCCCACAATGTTGGCACTGTGCTCACATATGAAGCAGTCATCCAGAACAGCCAGGATGCACTGTTATTAATTTTTAAAAATTATCACTAAAAGTGAATTACATTTAAAAATTAAAATGGAAAACTCATAGATGCTGAGAATTACCACAAACACCTCAGGGTCCAAGACATCCATGTTGAGAACAACTTGACTTGATGGCTCAGAAAGTGTCTGACCTACAAGATTTTGTGAATCATGTCCAGCACAAGAATTACCTACAAAAAGAGGTAAACTTCTAAATTGATTTACCTCAGTGAAGATTTCATCACTGATAAAGAGTTGCTATTCAGCAACATTCTCCACTGCATTATGTCAGTCAGTATCTGTTCTGATTGGTCCTACCCACATGTATCTTTTGATTGTAAGCTTAACATGTCCTGAGCACTGGTAAAATCTAATGTATTGCTAAAAATAAGCCCCTGATATCAAACTTACTCACCAACATTGTGAGTCCTTGAAGCAGAAGCCAGTAAGGTATTGTGGTAACTAATTGCTCTAATAGGAGCTCTGGTAGCATAGTGCCTAGGGCATTTGACTGCTAACCAGAAGGTCAGTGGTTCAAACCCACCAGCCACTCCTTGGAAGGAAGGTTGGACAATCTACTTCCACAGTGATTCTGCTTCAGAAACTCAAGGAGGGGTTGCTATGAGTCACACCCGACTCAAGGGCACTGAGTAGTATCAGTATGAAACAACCATAACATTTGCATAATACGTTCTCAAGTGTTTTCATGCACTTCATTTTATTTGGCAACCAAACCAAAAACTCACTGCCATCAAGTTAATTCCAACTCACAGCAACCCCCTTAGGGTTTCCAAGACAGTAAGTCCTTACAGAAGCAGATTGCCCCATCTTCCTTACACACAGTGGGTTTGAACCACCAACCTTCTGGTTAGCAGTCAAATGCTTTAGGCACTGTGCCACCAGAGTTCCTTTATTTGGCAACACTCAAACATTAAAAAAAAAAAAAAAAAGGAACTACAGCTCTTGGAGGTTGGGGAAAATGAACAAAATATAAGGAAAACTAACTCAATCTACTTGTTTCTTTCATAAATGTCTGGGCAGTCAATGGCTGTAGGTTCTAGAAACATGATGGTTCACTGTCAAAGAGCTGTGACCAAACCATCTCCTGATGTTCCTGAACTCTAAATTCACACACACACACATAAATACAAACATTTATAGTGTTATACAAGGTCTATAAGACCACACTCTAATGAGTGTGCACACAACCTGCTTGCGATAAATGAGTCAAGGACAACTGGACTCCTGGAGTCTGTGTATGCCCATGATTCCCACACAAGCATAAATATTCAGTGGCACCTAAAGTGCTTATTGGAAGCTTTGGAAGAAAAAAGAAAAAGCCTCCGTTTCCGAGTTAGCATTTAATCTTCTCAGGTACTAAGTTCCAACAATACAAAAATGTGAACTAGACCAGAAGGCTTTTACATCAAGCCCCAAATGTTTCTGATGAAGCTGTTGTTGTTGTTAGGTGCCGTTGACTTGCTTCCAACTCAACAGCGACCCCATGCACAGAGAACGAAACACCACCTGATCCCACGCCAGCTCCATGATCCTTGCTATACTTTAGCCCATTGTCGCAGCCACCATGTCAATCCATCTCTTCGAAGGTCTTCCCCTCTTTCGTCGACCCTCCACCTTACCAAACATGACATCCTTCTCCAGGGAATGGTCCCCTCTGACAGCATGGCCAAAGTCGGTGAGACGAAGTCTGGCCATCCTCGCTTCCAAGGAGCATCTCGGCTGCACTTCCTCCAGGACAGATCTGTTAGTTCTGATGATGTAGCTTTTCATTAACAGTGTCCTGTTCAAATGGATTCAGGGGCCAAGAGCTGAAACCTTGACTAGGAATCAATGAGGGAAGAGGCAGCTATTCACTCAGAGGGTGTCATGAGTATTGCTGATGTTGCATTGCTTCTAATTTTAAAAACAGTTGTCATTGAGTTGATTTCAACTGACTGTGAGCCCAGGTGTATCAGAGGAGAACTGCGCTCCACAGGGTCTTCAACGGCTGGTTTTTCAGAAGCAGATTGCCAGATCTTCTTCCAAGATGCCTCTAGGTAGACTCAACTCTCCAACGTTTCAATGAACAGCTGAGCATGTTAACCATGGGCACCATCCAAGAACTTTGCTACTAATAAATTTTCCTAGAATTAGACATAAATGAACTCAAACCTGCAAATTCCATTTGGGTTCCTACCAAAGGACTCAGCCACCTAAATGCCTTACATGTACCTTACCACAATTAGTTTTACATGGATATACATACACACGTTTTCCTTGGGTCCTCCGGACAGGTAATATTTTCTCTACTTTGCAGGTAAGGCTCAAAAAGTTATGACTGATTTAGTTAATGCCTCAGTGCAACGAAGTCACAGGGAAACAGAAATCCAAGGCTACTACCTCCAGAACTTCTGCTCTTTCCATTGTAGGATGTCATGCTTCACTTACAGAGTAGGGCTGTAACGAGGCCAAGAGCTCCATTTGATTTTGGAAGAAAATTGTTGTATCCCCAGCTGGACAAAGATTGTGACCACCAACTGTTAGCTTGGACTTGTATGAACAACAGGCTTGGAAGATCAGTCTGGTAAATGTATTATATGCATTTCTTCATTTTAGTCCATGTAATTACCAGTTACATTAAAGTGGGATTTTCATGAAGATTTCTCATAGTAAGTTCACTGTAAATAAATTTGGCTTTCACATAAGTATAAAGTAAGGCACCTATAAGAGTTATTTTTCTTCATTCTCTGTCATCTTACATGACCACCTGCATATCCAAGGGAATGGATAATGCCTTGTTATGTTCTGTGACATTCCAGTTCACTTGGTGGAAAATCAAACACTGTAAACAGTAAGTGGCTGGAGCACTGTGAACAAGTTGCTTCAGCTCCCCAGGCCCTGACTTCCTCATCTATAACTGAAAGTTTAACTACAGGAATTTCAATCTTCCTCTCAGGTCTAACCTTCTAGAATTCAAAATACAGTTCAAATTAAAAAGGAAACATTTCTCTTGAAACTTATAAAATATAGAACAAAATTCAAAATTGTAAAAAAAAAAAAAAAAAAAGACCAGACTTACCAGTCTGATAGACTGATAGGAGCCCTTAAGACTGCAGCTTTTAGATACCCTTCAAACTTGGAAATGAACCCACCCCTAGAGATTACCTTGAACCCAAACAATAGACAGCCCTATAAAGTGAACAATAACACCCATGAGGAACATACTCTCAGATCAACCATATGAGACCAAAAGGGCAGCATTTGCCCAAAAACAAAGCTCAGAAGGCAGGAAGGGGCAGAAAAGAAGGAAGAATGGAAATAGGGAACCCAAGGAAGAAGTGGGAAGAGTGCTGTTACATTGAAAGAATTGCAACTGTTAGGAAACAAAATGTGTATAAATCGTTGAATGGGAAACTAATGTATTCTGCAAACTTTCACCCAAACCAAAATTTTTTAAAAAAAGAAACTAAAAACAAAATCAAGTACATGAAATATTCAAACCTTAATGTGAAGAGTATCAAAGCTTCCAAACATAGTCACCTACTCCACAAGTCGTAGACAGACACTTCTCTGGTTAAGAGGAGAGAGCAATGACCCACGTGAATAGTTTCAGTCTCTGAGACTCCCTCTTTTCCACCTTTGGGCCAGAGGAGCAAAGTGTATTACTGACAAAGTGGAGGTTGTTGGCTGCGGTTCTGCACAGTGCAGCTGCCAAGTTCAGAATGCTCACCAAGAGAATGATGATGTCCTGTAGACTGAGTAATGACTCAAGCTTTCCCTGAACCTGAAGCCAGGCCTACAGGCTTATGGGTTTTTGAGTGATTGTTGTTGTTATGTGCCGTCAAGTCAGCCCCGACTCATAGCGACCCCTCCTTGGGTTTCCGAGGCAGTATCACTATGGAAGTAGGATTGCCCAACTTTCCTTCCAAGGAGTGGCTGGTGGGTTTGAACCGCCAGCCGTCTGGTTAGCAGGCAAGTGTCTTAGCCACTATGCTACCAGAGCTCCAATAAATTCTCTTCTTTGCGTTAGTTGGGAGATGTCATGGATTGAATTGAGTATCCCAAAAACATGTGTCATCTTGGCTGGGCCATGATTCTCACCAGCAATTTTGTAATCAATATTCTGATATAATCATCCCCATGATGTGATGTGATGAGCCAATCAGTTGTAAGAGGAGTAGGGTAGAATGCAAAACCTTTCATCAGATCACAGCCCTGATCCAAAGTAAGGGGAGTTTTCCTGGGGTATGGCCTGCATTGTCTTTATCTTACAAGAGATAAAAGGAGTGAGAAGCAAGCAGAGGAGATGGGCCTATTACCACTAAGAAAGAAGAAACAGGAGCAGAATGTGTCCTTTAGATCCAGGGTCCCTGCACTAGAAACCTCCTACCAAGAAAAAAAGCAAACCAAACTCACTGCAATCGAGTCGTTTCTGACTCATAGTGACTCCCATTGGATTTCCAAGGCTGTAAATCTTTACAGAAGTGGATCGCCCCATGGAGCAGCTCATGGGTTTGAACCACTGACCTTTCGGTTAGCAGTCAAGTGTCTTATCCACTATGCCACCAGAGCTCCTAGGCCCAGGGGAAAATTGATTCCAAAACATATGGAGATCTCCAGGGATGTAAGGCCCACAGGTGTTGAAAGGAGACAAAGATCTTCCTCCTAAACTATGAGCCAGCAGAGAGAGAAAGGCTTCCCCTAAAGCTGGTGCCCTGAATTTGGACTTCCAGCCTCCTGACAGTGAGAGAATCAATTTCTGTTTGTTAAAGGCATTCACTTGTAGTATTTGTTATAGCAGCACTAGATAACTAAGACCGTAGAGTTGGATGTTCTGTCACCAGCCACTGAAAGGTTCAAACCAGCACAGAATATTTTTTTTCTATCAGATTGTAAAGTTTCTGCTTCCGGAGTGGCTTTTCTTTTTACCCTGAGCCACTGTCTTCCTAGAGCCAAGCCTGTCCTCAGACCAAGAACAAAAGTTCTTCCATGAATTCTTAATTGAAGCAGGAAACAGGTATGGCACAGCCTGAGTTTCCACTTTCATACATGTGCAGAAGAGAAGCCTTCAGAAGGGGAAGAGCAGAGGGAGGGTCAGCAGACCATGATCTTGTCGTCCAATGTCCACATCGAGGTCATGCGGGGGAAACAGAGAATTATAGCTGGTGATACAACGGAAAGGAAATCACAGCTCAGCCTGGACAGTCAGTCACAGTAGTTTTCAGACCTAGCGGGAACCTTAAAATCTACCTGGTCCCACATTTACTTTCACAGACGGACAAACCAAGGCCTGGAATCATACAGCAATCCTCTTCAGAGTGCACAACTAAAGCCAGGGCTACAATCCAAGTCTTCAGTACAAAATGTTTTCCAACATTCAGATTTACAAAGAAAAAAACAAAAACAATTGGCTATGTTGGAAAACAGGGAATTGCCTATTACTAGAATGACAGGGAGAGACCAGCTCACCCATTTGTCATCAATTTCTATGCTGGTTGGGATTGGAGTTGATGTCCAAGTTTTCTTTCAAGTCTAAGAGTCCATGAAAACTCTACTCTAAGGAAAGTACTTTCTGTGGCACCGGGAATACTAGTTTTTTCCGTAGTGTGAAAGCAGGCTGGGGCATCTGTTTCTTTGTCTTATGTTTGTCTGCTTGCTGGCTTACATCATTGTTGACAGCAGTGAGGATAGATAAGATGTCTTCACGTCTGAAGGCAGAGAGAAAAACATATTTACAATCAGGAGGCAAAAATCACATACCTCTAACGTGTGGTTCCTTCCTATTCTAACATGTCAAGAGTTTAACTGAATCTTGTCAAAAACAAAAATTTCTTTTGAAATTAAAAATGAAACACTAAATTACAAAACATTTTTCAATGCTAAATTCAATGATTAAAAAGATTATAATAATCACACCTTGTATTTTAAGACATTTACTCTACACAGGAATTTTGCATATAATTATTTTCCATTTTTTCCTTCAAGGTGATAGATAGATAGATAGATAGATAGATGATAGGGAAAGATAATACTTTCCCTATTCTTGGTTTAAAGGAGCTCTGGTGGCATAGTGTCTAAGGCATTTGACTGCTAACCAGAAGGCTGGCACTTCAAACCCACCAGCCACTCCATGGAAGAAAGACTGGTCATCTACTTCCATAAAGATTTGCCACCTTAGAAACCCAAAGGGGGTCGCTCTGAGTCAGAATTGACGCTATGGCAGTGGGTTTTTTTTTTTTTTTTTTTTTTTTTGGTTTTATTCTTGGCTTTGAGAGGGTTACAAAGATAAATATTATGTAATTCATGAACTGAAACACTTAGAATATAGACATGAATCATCTACCAAGGATGACATATACATAATATTCATAATACAAGGCAGAATGCGATCAACACCATATGAAAAACAGATCACAGTTCCATTACCAGTTCAGAGGAGAAAGAGAGCCCTTCTAGCTGGCAGGACAAGAGAAGGCTTCATTGAGGAGGTGGCATTTGGGCCCGGGCTCGGAGGATGTATCACATTGATCAGAACGTTCTGGGAGTGGGCACCACGAATCACTGGGAGCAAAGCACACACTCTGGAGGCAGAACTCAAGTTCGATTCATGGCTCCATCATTTGTTAATATGAGTGTCTCAGGCAGGTTACTTACTGGCCTGTTTGCTCAGCTCTAAAATGGGGAACACAACAGACTCTCTCTTGAAGACTGTTGTGAGAATTAAATGAGATGATTCATATAATGCACTAAGAATACTGGCTGTCTCACACCATACACCAACATTTTTTTAGCATTATTATTATTACTACTTCTTTTCATCATCATCGTTATTATTTTTCATATGAGGATGCAGACCTTGCCTGCTCCTCAGGCCTTTCATCCTGTTATGTACTAGCTGTTCTCTTTGTCCCCAAATCTTCTTGTGGCTGGCTCATTCTCATCACTCTGCCCCAGCTGAAATATCACCTCCACAAGAAGCCTTCTCAAGTGACCCCCATGCTCCATCCTCTATACCACTAACTTGCTTTGTTTTACTCACAATAGGTATTGCTACCAGAAGTTACCATATTCATTTAAATATTCGCTTACAATTTTGTACATTTACTCTCCCTCACTGGACTGTTAGATCCATGGAGAGGATTTCTTATCTCTCTTATTCACGATGGAACCCCTGGCCCCTAGTTCAGTGCCCAGTAAACACTAGGCACATAGTAAACTAAAAAAAACAAACTCACTGCCACTGAGTAGATTCTGACTCATAGTGACCCCCACTGGGTTTCTGAGGCTGTAAATCTTTAAGGAAGTAGTTCACCATATCTTCCTTCCATGGAGCAGCTGGTGGCTTTGAACTGCTGGCCTTTAGTTAGCAGCCAAATGCCTTATCCACTATGCCACCAGAGCGCCTTAGGCATATAGTAGGCCATTGATAAATACTGCCTTGTCCATGAAGTCATAGGCCATTGGTCACTGATGACTATGGTGGGGAAGGGTAGGTGATAAAGAAGAGGGAAAAGCAAAGGTTGTCCAAGTCTTCAATCCTGAATTCCCAGAAAAGCATGGCAGCCATTCCTAGAAATGGGAGTGCAGGAATAAGAGCCTCTGGAGAGGACTGGGAATGCACTCAGGACTGGGCATGCTGAAGGTGAGGTCCAAGAGCCACACAGAGGTGGGATAGGGCAGGCTGTGAGAAATGTGTAGGGCTGACCTGAAGAATGAAGATATTCCTCTTTGCAGTAAATATTTATCAAGCCCAACTAAATGTCAGTCACTGTGTCAGGCGTTGTGGATGAAAAGTTGAATGAAACAGGGTCTCTGTTCTCCAGGAGCTCAGAGGTGAGTGACTCAGAGATGGAATTTAGGAGGCATTTTCATGGAAGTGCCAGTGGCTGTTACGTGCAACTGAATTGCCAAGAGGGGCTACAGAGAGAAAGAGAACAGAGAAGGAATTCAGGGAAGAATTTCAAGGAAGGCCTGTTTTTCAGGGGACAAGGTAAGGAGCATGTGGCAGAGACACAGACAGAAGGGAAATTGTCAGAACAGCGGCAGGAGACCAAAGGATGATGTAATGTCAGGGAAGCCAAAGGTGACACGTCAGCATTGCCAAAGGTGGGCACTCATAAATATAAGTGAGTGATGGAAGAATGGAATAGATAAAGGGTTCCACGCCTTTATTCAAGCTGTTTCTTCTGCCCAGCACTCGTTTCTCCTGACTTCTTTGCCTAATATCTGTTTGTCATCTCTGGAAGTCTCCTTGATCCAGTCTCATGCCACGTATCTCCATGTACCCTATGCTTTACAATGTGTTTTTACTCTCTGTGCGTGCTTATCCCCATCTACTTGTTTGTCTCCCCCTCTAGATTGTGAGCAACTTGAGAGCAGGGACTATCCTTTTTCTCTGTATCTCCCTGTGAGAACATGCTTGTTCTCAAAACAAATCAGATGGATGGATGGATGGGTGGGTGGATGAGTGGATGGGTAGGTGGGTGGGTGGGTAGATGGACAGGTGTTTGGAACAACTCAGAACTCTAACCTTGGGATCAAGTCCTTCAAATGATTACACAGAGACTGGATATACCAGCTGCCTCTCTCCACATGCCGAAAGGATACATAGCCTGGGACAGTGGCCAAGCCAAGCAAGAAATCTGCCTCAATAGGAACGCTGTCCTGAAGGCTCTTCTCCCGGGGGTGAGGGAGTAGTTTCTCCGAATTCAGAGCATCTGCTTCAATGGATATGGAAGGGTGTGTCTCTTCACCTTGACAGGCCTGGATGAAAAAGAGTTTGGGTTTGAGAGCCAGACCAGGGCACTGCTGGGCTGTGAAGTGAGACATGATTTCCCGAATGAGAATGAGGGCCCCGTCGGAGGAGTAGACAGCTCCAAACTTCCCATGGGTTAGGATACAGCACACGAAGCAGTCCCCGTCAGTATGACCTGGGTGACTTTTATAATGCTGCAGAGCCTCCTCCAGGCCTACTTTAGTCACATCATTGTATACCCGTACTGTGAATCCAAGCCACTCAAACACGCACTTCAGGCTCTCTGTCAAGAAAGAAGAGCAAGGGAAAATTGAAATGAAATTAAATGAAATAAAGGAGGGAAACAATGTTAACAGTTATAGGAATTGTACAGCAAATAGCCTGGAGCTTTGAGTTTTATGACTTTCATAATAACAATAAAAGTTTACAACTCAACTGCCTTCTTAGAGTACGCACAGTGCTGTCTCATTGTATTGGGCCTTAAGGTAACAGTCCTGAGAGTCAGGAGAGGCTAGTTTCATCCTGTTCGACAGGTAAGGAAGCTAAGGCCCAGCAACTGTTCCACGGTCACAAACCCACAAACCCAGTTAGTCGTGGAGCCAGAGGTTAAACCTGGGTTTTCTCAAGCCAACTCAGCACACTGCCCTCTAGACACAGAATCGTAAATTGTCAGTCGTTAGCAGATTGGTAACATCCCGCGGATATGAAAGAGGCTCAGATGATATTTATGATGTTTATAATATCATCTAACATTTAAATAAGAAAGGAAATTTCTGAAAAAGATAATATACAATAAAAAACTATTTTAAGCCCTCCAACTTGCATTTGGTAAAGGATTGCAGATTTTCTTACCAGCATCTTTATGAGTCCCTGGTCTGCGTGGCAGTGAGGTAAAGTTGTCATTGTTGACAATGACACAGTGACCTCTGTGCTTCCGATCCATCCTGTACACAGCTGCCTCCTTAAAAACAAGACAGAGCACTTACTAGGGAATCCTCATTTTAGGGGGTTAGACGTTTTTAATCAAGGGTTTTTTATTTTTAACCAATGGATCCAGTTTGAGGTAGAGTAAAATGTATCTCTTTTTTTTTTTTTCTTAATTTATTTTTGTTAACTTTTTATTATGATTTGAGTGAAAGTTTGCAAACTGGTTTTCCATTGAACAACTCATAGACATGCTGATTCGTGGCACTGATTGTTATCCCACAAAGTAACAGCACTCTTCCCACTTCTTCCCTGCCTTACTATTTACAGTCTTCCTTCTCGCCTATCTCTTCCTGCCTTCTGAGCTTTGTCCCTGGGCAAATGTTCTTCTTTCCTATCTCTCCATGCCATCTGCGCTTTGACCCCTTTGACCTGCTATGGTTGGTTGTTCTAGGGAATGCACACCTCCCTGGTGTCATTGTTCACCTTAAGACCTGTCTATTGTTTGCCCATAAGCAAAAGTGGAGCCATGGGGAGGACGCATTTCTTAATGCTAGTTTTTTAACCTAGCTTTATATACTTTTAAATTTTATGTTTTAAATTCCTAGGAATATTGGTGGTGTGGTGCCTAAGGCATTTGACTGCTAACCAGAAGGCTGGCAGTTCAAACTCACTAGCCACTCCTCGGAAGGAAGACTGGGCAATCTACTTCCATAGTGATACTGTCTTGGAAACCCAAGGAGGGGTTGCTATGAGTCAGATCCGACTTGATGGCAGTGAGTGGTTTTTGGTTTTTACTATTTCTAAAGGCATATATAGAAAGACTAGCAATTCTGAACATTCTATGTATTCAAATTTACTGCTAAACTGTGCCCTGAAAATAGTATCAGATCTTTTTAAGACCTAAAGCCCAGGACAAAGGATGAATGAACTGCACTAAATATTAGCCACTCCATTCTATTCTATTTATTTATTTATTATTTTCACAGCATTCCTTCTCCTCCCCTTCCACCCCATCCCTAGTAACCAACAAAGGAAGTTTCTTTCCATATATAAACCTTTTGTTGACTTTTTACAATAATGAACCAATACAATATTTGTCCTTCTGTGATTGACTTATTTCACTCAGCATAATGTCCTCCAAGTTCATCCATGTTATGCGATGTCTTGCAGATTCTTTAGTGTTGCATAGTATTCCATTGTGTGTATGTACCATAGTTTGTTTATCCATTCTTCTGTTGATGGGCACCTAGGTTGTTTCCATCTTTTTGCTATTGTAAATAGTGCTGCGATGAACATGGGTGTGCATATATCTGTTCTTGTCCTGGCTCTCACTTCATTAGGATATATACCTAGTCATGGGATTGCTGGATCAAATGGTATTTCTAATTCCAACTTTTTAAGGAATCGCCATACTGTTTTCCACAGTGGTTGTATCATTTTACACTCCCACCAGCAGTGTATGAGAGTCCCAATCTCTCCACATCCTCATCAGCATTTGTTATTTTGTCTTGTTGAACTTTGCTGTTAGTGCTGGGGCAAGATGGCATCTCATTGTTGTTTTGATTTGTATCTCTCTAGTGGCTAATGATCATGAACATTTCCTCATGTGTTTGTTGGCCGCCTGAATATCCTCTTCGGTGAAGTGTCTATTCATGTGTCTGCCCATTTTTCAATTGGATTACTTGTCTTTTTGTTGTAGAGGTGTTGGAGTTTTCTGTAAATTTCAGAGATAATCCCTTGTCAGATAGGTCATTGCCAAATATTTTTTCCCATTCTGTAGGTTCTCCTTTGACTATTTTGGAGAGTCTTTGAAAGCACATAAAAACTTAATTTTTGGAAGGTCCCATTCATCTAGTTCATCTGCTATTTGTGTATTTTGAGTTATGCTTGACAGTCTATTTATGCCATATATAAGGTCCCCTAAATTTGCCCCTAGTTTTTCCTTGAGGAATTTTATAGTTTTAGGTTTCATTTTAAGTCTTTCATTTACCTGCAGTTAGTTTTTGTGTATGCTGTGAGGTACAGATCTTGTTTCATTTTTCTACAAACAGATGTCCAGTTTTGCCAGCACCATTTGTTAATGAGACCATATCTTCCCCCATTTAATGGATTTCAGTCTTTTCTCAAAAATCAGCTGACCATAGGTCAATGGATCTATTTCTGAGTTCTCAATTCTGTTCCACTGGTCTATGTGTCTGTCGTTGTACCAACACCAGACTGTTTTCACTACTGTGGCTGTATAGTATGTTTTGAGATCTGGGAGTGTGAGACTTCCTACTTTGTTCTTCTTCTTCAATAGTGCTTTGCTTATCCGAAGTCTCTTTCCTTTCCATATAAAATTAGTGATTGGTTTTTCCATATCCTTAAAGAATGTTGATAGTATCTGGATTAGGAATACATTGAATGTACAGATTGCTTTGGGTAGTTTTGACATTTTCACAATGTTCAATCTTCTTATCCACAAGGATGGTATGTTCTTCCATTTATGTAGATCTCTTATGGTTTCTTGAAGTAGTGTGTTGTAGTTTCTTTGTACAAGTCTTTTGTGTTCCTGGTGAGATTTATTTCCTGGTGAGTATCTTTTATTTTTGGTAGCTATGGTGTAGAGGAGGAGCTCTGGTAGTGTAGTGCCTAAGGCACTTGACTGCTAACCAGAAGGCTGGCAGTTCAAACCTACTAGCCACTCCTCAGAAGAAAGGTTGGGCAATCTACTTCCGTAGTGATACCGCCTTGGAAACCCAAGTAGGGGTCGCTATGAGTCAGGGCCTACTCGACAGCACATAACAACAACAACATGGTATAGAGGAATCTAACTGATTTTTGTATGTTGATCTTGTATCCCACCACTATGCTAAATCTCTCAGCAGTTTTTTTGGTGAGTCTGTTGGGTTTTCTGTGTGTAGGATCATATCATCAGGAAACAGGGACAGTTTTTCTCCTTCCTTTCCAATTTGGATGCTTTTTATTTCTCTTTCTTGCCTTATGGCCCTGGCTAGGACTTCAAATACAATGTTGAATAAAAGTAGTGACAGAGGGCATCCTTGTCTGGTTCCTGTCCACAAGGAGAATGATTTCAATCTCTCTCCATTGAGAATGTTGGTTGTTGTTGTTGTTGGCTGTTGGTTTTGCATATATGGGCTTTATTGTGTTGAGGAATTTCCCTTCTATTTCTATTTTGCTGAGAGTTTTTATCAGGAATAGGTGTTGGATTTTATCAAATGCCTTTTCCGCATCAATTGATATGGTCATGTGTTTCTTTTCCTTTGTTTTATTTATGTGACAGATGACGTTGATTGTTTTTCTAATGTTGAACCATCTTTGCATACCTGGTATGAGCCCTACTTGGTCATAATGTATTATTTTTTTGATATGTTTTTGGATTCTATTGGCTAGGATTTTGCTGAAGAATTTTGCACCTGTATTCATGACAAATATGGGTCTGTAATTTTCCTTTTGAGTGATGTCTTTGCCTGGTTTTGGTATCAAGGTCATGCTTGCTTCATAAAATGAATTTGGGAGGATTACATCCTTTCCTATGTTCTGGAATAGTCTGGTAGGATTGGTGTCAGTTCTTCTCTGAATGTTAAGTAGAAGTCCCCAGTGAAACTGTCAGAGCAGGATTTTGGGGGGTTGGTAAATTTTTTATGACCTATTCAATTTTTTGTTTTGTTTTGGATCTGTTCAACTTTTCCACCTCAGTCTGTGTTAATTTAGGTAAATAGAGCTCTGGTGGCATAGTGCCTAAGGCATTTGACTGCTAACCAGAAGGCTGGCAGTTCAAACCCACCAGCCACTCCTCAAAACAAAGATTGGGCAATCTACTTCCATAGTGATACTATCTCACAAACCCAAGGAGGAGTCGCTAGGAGTCAGATCTGACTCGAGGACAGTGAGTTTGGTTTGGTCTGCGTATGTTTCTAGAAATCTGTCCATTTCATCTAGATTTTCAAATCTGTTGGCGTATAGTTCTTCATAGTATCCTGATATTATCCTATTAATTTGTGTTAGCTCTGTTGTGATGTTGCCCAATTCATTTCTTATTCATGCTATTTGTATTCTCTCCCTCTTTTCCTTTGTTAAATTTGCCAGTGGTTTGTCAATTTTATTAATCTTTTCAAAAAACCAACTACTAGTCTTGTTGATTTTTTCAATTGTCTTTCTATTTTCTGTTTCATTTATTTCTGCTCTAATTTTTATTGTCTCTTTTCTTCTGGTGACTGTAGGTGGTTTTTTTTTTTTTTGCTCCTCTTTTTCAACTAACTGTTGGAGATATTAATTAAGGTGTTTATTTTGGCTCTTTCTTCATTTTTGATGTGTACATTTATTGCTATAAATTTGCCTCTGATCACTGCTTTTGCTGTGTTCCTAAGATTTTGGTATGCTGTGTTTTCATTCTCATTTGATTCAAGGGATTTTTTAAGTTCATTTTTCATTTCTTCTATTACCCAGTCATTTTCAAGGTGGGTGTTAATCAGTTTCCACATGTTTGCTCTTTTTCCATTGATCTTCCTATTTTTGATTTCTAATTTGATAGCATTGTGATCTGAGAAGATGCTTTACATCATTTCAATGTTTTTAAATTTATTAAGGTTTGCTCTGTGGCCTAACATATGGTCTATCCTGGAGAATGTTCCATGTGCACTGGAAAAGAATGTAAATTGTGCTGTTGTTGGGTGAAGTGCTCTGTAGATGTCTATAAGGTCAAGTTGGTGGATTGTATTGTTTAGTTCTTCTGCAGCTTTGTTGATTTTCTTTCCAATTGTTCTATCTTTCATTGAAAGTGCTGTATTAAAATCTCCTACTACAGCTGTGGCCACTCCATTCATGTGGATCACATGAGCTTCTCCTGGGCATTCCTTTTGAAAATTGAATGCAAGCTCCAGTAGCAGAAGTAGTAAGTTCTCAAGATCCTGGTCATACACTAGAATTAACCAATTAATTTAAGGTAGAAAGCCACATTCCAATTAAAATTCATAATTCATCTGGTTAATTAGGGAATTTTAGTTCTCAGAGTTTAAAAAAAAAAACAGAATATATATTTTAATGTTGGCAAATGCAGGATTTATGCAAAAGTGTCTTCTTTTTTGGATTAGCAAACTGAAGAAAGTATAGGTAAGGATTAGGTAATGATTTAACAAAACAACGAAAATACAGGTGACTTTTTTTAGATGGTGGGATTCTGGAATGATCTGATCCCCCTGAAAACAGAGAAATTTCTTTTGTAACATCATTTCTGAAAATAAAAATAATATATAATCAGGGCAGGAATTTTTAAATATATGTAACTATATTTAAAGGCTACTGTAAACAGTACGCAATTACACATTAGTTGATTTGGCTTCAGGGAAGCCTCTGTGTGCCTAAAAGGATCCTCTGAAAGCATGGTATATCTTTGATCCAACCGGAAAAAGAAGTAGCTTTAATCAATAAAAAAGAACCTTCCCCTCTGCCAGAAATAACTCAAAGGGCATGCATAATGAAAAGGGTGATACCATCACCTCCACAGCCAAAGGTCAACGCACTTCTGATTGTCACAGAAAAAGGCAGGCAGGACAGCAGTGATCACAGAGAAAAGAAAGACAATATCATAAACAGCACTGAGTCCTCAAAGTCATTGAGGGGAAGACCCTAGGGCATCGAAGAAATCATCTGTTATGGATTGAATTGTGTCACCCCCCAAAAAAAACACGTTAAAGTCTTAATCCCTAGTATGTGAGAAAGTGAATCTGTTTGGAGTTAGGGTCTTTAACAGCTAGGTTAACATGAGGTCTTACTGAAGTAGAGTAATATCCTTATAAAACAGGAGAAGAGACAGACAGTGAAGATGGCCACGTGAAGATGCACTTACAAGCCAAGGAATGCCAAGGGACACCTAGGGCTACCGAAGTAAGAAGAGACAAGAAAGGATGATCCTGTAGTGCCAAGAGAGAGGGAGAACAGGCTCTGCCAATGCCCTGAATTTGGACTCCTGGCTTCCAGAACTGTGAGACAATACATTTCTATCCTTATAAGTCACTCAACTATAACATTTCATTGTGGCAGGCCTAGGAAACAAATACACTATCCAAACCTTTGTGCTGGTTTCGGCATTTATGATAGCAGCAGATGCTCCCAACTCTTCCACGGAGACCAAGCTTGGTGCCCCATTTGTGGCTCTGTCACCTAGAAAGAGAGATACTTAGATTTTTCAAATATCTTTCCCCAAACATGCAGAATTCCTTACTAATAATTTTCTTATATAGCACCTATTTCTGAAGAATTTTTTTTCTCTCAAGGCACTCCTGAAACGTGAATTCAGCAACCACGCCTTTCCTGATAAAAGAGGTTGAGGCCACCATGTTATTTTTACATTGTCAGGGTTGGAGACAATGTAGCTGTCAGGGAAAGGCTGGGAAATTAGAATCACATAAACCAGCTTCACTTTCCCCAGTGGTAGAAATCTTAGCTGGGTTGAATCAGTATTTATCTGCTATGGATGTATAGACACCTCTCTGAGAAGAAAGGAGACAAAAATACAAAAAGTTTCAGCCAGAGACCCAGTTTATAAAAAAAATAAACTCACTGCCATCGAGTCAATTCTGACTAATAGCATACCCCATTGGGTTTTGGAGGCAATAAATCTTTACAGGAGTAGATCACCCCATCTTCCTTCTGCAGAGTGGTTGGTGGGTTTGAACCACCAACTTTCTGGTTAGCAGTCAAATGCCTTAGGTACTGCACCACCACCCAATGTGGGCATGGCAAAAATCAGTCCAAGGCACTAGGATTAGTTTATCACACCGCTGGTACTGGCTGAGGACTGCACTGATACAAAGTATTCCTGACAATTCCTCTGGACAAGAATCCACCATAGAGAGGAAGTCATTGAGGGGGTCAGTTGTCATATGACAGTTACAGGAAAGTGGAACATGAAACTGTTTTCTTCCCCAACTCCCAGCAAGTTCTTAGAGAATTCAGCAAGCTCTGCCATCATCTCTGAGGTCTGAGTTAATAATTAACTAAGTTAAGAGTCAGTTTCAGTGCTCAACTGAGATTGAGCAAGTCCAGTATTCCCCAGACCAGAGAACACATTGAAAGGAAACCAACTTGCATTTGCACTGAGCACCTGTAAATTCCTCTGCACCTTGGGAAGAAGGTAACGTTCCAGGAGAAGCCAGGTCTAAACTTTGGAACCACACAATTTTAAAGCTGGAAGAAACTTCCATATTCTTCAGAAAAGTAAAGCTGTTGTCTGAGCACACAAAACCACACAGTGGTAGATCAGATTTTCAGTGGGTGGGCTCGGGAGTCAGACTGCTGGGTTCACTCCTTTCTAGCTTGTGACCTTCAGCAAAGTACTAGACCTCATGGGTTCCCATTTCCTAATCATTAAATGGGAATAACAGTATTACTTGTCTCCAGATGGTTGCAAAATCAAATGAGATAACACTGGCACATGACAGTCTTTGGTAAGTGGTAACTGTCACCAGCAGCATCTTATCATGCAACCTACAGAGATTCCTAAGAAAGCAGTAGATCTTGGAATCCAAATTTAAACTTCAAAGAAAGGGGGAGGAGGATGGGCTCTAATTAAACTTTACACCTCACAGAAAGACTACACACCAAATACCTGTTTGTTCACAAGTAGTTTAATCCAATGACAGATTCTGGGATGTTTTCTGAGGTGATGCTTTCTGGGCAGGAATTCAGCCACTAAACCCACCCCTGCCAAGTTTCTCCCTCTTCCTTCTCGCATGTGGAGTTCAGCAATCTGCAGAAGACACTCCCTCAGACTGTACATCTCACTCTGTCACTTAGTCTGGAGGCTTTAGCCTCACTGAGGCTCCTTCCCTCCCCACAGAGGACTACGCCTCCCTCTACTCCTGCAGGTGGAGGGCCAGCAGCTGCCTGCATTCCCCGGATGTTGCTATTCTATTTTCCGGTAGAAATCACTAGCTCTCTCCATGTCCTCCTAGAAAAGCCAGTATAATCCATGTGTCTAGTGACTGCCGGAATTGGGATAAGAAATGAATTCTCCACCTGCTTGTAAATCTTCTCCCAAGGCACTACTGAAATGTAAATTCAGCAACCACACCTTTCCTGATAAAAGAGACCATTGTGTTATTTTAACATTGTCAGGGTTGGAGACAATGTAGCTGTCAGAGAAGGGCTGGAAACCTCAAATTGCTTGCTATATATCAAATACATCTATTCCTATCATACTGATCCCAGTTGTAAAAAGTATGTTAGCAACACTTACCATTACTCCTTACATGCTCATTTGGCCAGGGCTCCTTCTGTTGAAGAAATAGGAAATGCAGGAAATTCACACAGTTAGGATGAGGGTAAAATCCCAACCCAGAGAAGGGTGGACACCTAATTGCCGGCCCTAGGCAAGGCCATTGTCAGGAGACAAGAGGAGAATAAACTCCCTCCTTCCAAGGGAGGAAGGTTCACTAAGACACATTAGCAAACATACAGCACAACGTATGCACAAGGGCATTTATTCATTGAGGCATTACCTGGAGTAATTAAAGGCTGGACATCAGCCTGATGTCCACCAATATGGAGTGACTGAAAACTCTGGTACCTCCAGATGGTGGAGCAGAAAAAGACAAGCAATTTCTTCAGGAAATAGTGTTAAATGTGAGCAGCAAAAAGAAGGTATTTTAGTATGCTAACGCTTTTTGGGAGCTCTGGGAGCATAGTGCCTAAGGCACTTGACTGCTAACCAGAAGGTTGGTGGTTCAAACCCACCAGCCACTCCTCAGAAGGAAGATGGGACAATCTACTTTCATAGTGATACTGCCTCGGAAACCCAAGGAGGGGTCACTATGAGTCGGGTCCGACTCGATGGCACATAACAACAACAACAACAACACTTTTGCAATAAAGGGGAGTTGTTGTTTGTTTTCAAATGAAACTTAAAAAGAAAAAACTAATAAAAGTGGTACTCAGTGGGGAAAAGAGGGAGGAACAGGCAATGCCAATTTCTCTGAGTGTCCTGTATTTATAGTTTTTACTTTGGGCCTTCAAAAATGCTTTGTTGTTGTTATGTGCTGTTGAGTCAGACTTGACTCACAACGACCCTTCCTTGGGTTTCCCAGGTGGTATCACTATGGAAGTAGATTGCCCACCCTTTCTTCCGAGGAGTGGCTGGTAGGTTTGAACCACGAGAAATGCTTTACATAATTAAAATACAAAATTAATACAAAGTCTTTAGTACCTCTGTTGTTTCCACATTCTCCTTACCCTGCCCCCTTAGCCTTGCAGCCGAAAGTCCCAAAGGGAACATGGACCTGTGCGGCTGGATCATTGTGGACCATTTATGAGGTGCCTATCAAGTCACCCAAGTCTCTGGGGATGCCACCCATGCCAGATCCCCCCAGACCTGAAGGGGGGTGACCTATCTTTAAGCCAGACCTAAACTACAGCACCCTGACTCCCAGGGCTAGACGATACCAGGATTCCTCAGCTCTGAGGGAACAAATGCAAGGGGAGCACAGTTTCACTTTCCAAAAGACTCCCTGCCTTTCTTTTCACAAGTCACATTTCCTTCCTTCAAAATCTAGAATCCTGCTCTGATTTTGTCCGGTTGGTTTGAAGGCAGTTGTGTCAATCAAAGATGCAGCATTTCCAGGCTGAGTGTTTCCTTAATTCTCCTCCTTTGGGCTGATGAAACTGGGAGGAGCAGAAACTAGGAATAAGCTTTAGGGTCTGTCTGCCTGTCTTTCCCCGAGGATGTTGCATCCTCTATTGAAACCCCTAACTCTTTGTGTCAGAGAGGAACGAACAAATGAACGAATGACCCAAACCTTGGCCACAATCAGTCTTCTTTAGACCTTTTGCAGGGAAGGAAATAATGTGTCTCCCAAGGATTCTGACTACATTGTAAGGGACAGACTGCAAATGCTCCCCGTGTCTTGCCTTCATGCCAAGCTTTCACAGCAGGGAATCCAGTTCTTGCTCTCTGGAATAAACTAGTTACGTAATCTGTGGGGCTCATTACAAGACAAAAATGTGAAGCCCTTTATTCATACATTGTTAAGAATTACAAAATGGTAACAGTGGAGCATTAAATGAAGCACAAGGCACTAAGCAACTGTACAGGTTTTATGTCCACGAACCTGGCCCTGAAGGCATTCCACAGTTAAGAGCTCAAGAATCATTTCAAGGTGGTGTACTGGAGTCAGTTCAGACTAACTAATGAGAGCCAAGGGTTAAATTTTTAGGAATATTGCAATCAGGTTAATGTCATGTTGGTGGCCTGAAATCAGCCATAATGGGAGTATTTACACCATAGAAATCAGCAAACCAGGGCTTCTTTCCTCCTTCCTTTCTTCCTTTCTTTTTCCTCCCCCTCCCTCCCCCAGGTGGTGGGGATACAGCCCATTGGTAAACATTTACCAGCACCTCTGAACTTACCGGTGATGCTCCACGGACTTGCATATTGGCTACAAGGGAAGGTAACTCTTCCTCTGCTTGAGGTACTCCCTCAGTTTCCTTGTCTATAGGAGCTGTCACTACCTGGGAGACTGGAAATCAAATCACAGATATAAAAATAAAGATCACCTTCTGATTAGTAGCAATCCAAGGTAACCAATCATCAAAATGTAGTCATCAAAAGAAATTACTCTGGTGGCATAGTGCCTAAGGCTTTTGACTGCTGACCAGAGGGCTGGCAGTTCAAATCCATCACCCATTCCTCAGAAGGAAGGTTGGGCAATCTATTTCCGGAGTGATACTGCCTCAAACACCCAAGGAGGGGTTGCTATGAGTCGGGTCCGACTCCACAGCAGTGAGTTTGAGTTTTGGTTTTCTGAGACAAACTCAGTCCTCAAGGCTCACTGAGGCAAACATAAACATTTATTACCCAGAAACTAGGGTGCCTTCTCTCCGGAGGTCAAAGATCCAAAATAATATGGCCATCTGCCCTTTGTGTGGGATATTGCGTTACAGGAAAACCTCAGCGTGAGCCAAAACATGAATCTCCCCATTCAGCGTTCCAATGAGGATTACAAATATTCTTTCCATTTCAACTTCCTGTATCAAGTATTTCACACTTGATAACTTGATGGTAAGAACAGCTGTTTTTATTCTTCACAACTTATGTTTAAATTACACATTTATTCACTGCTTTAGTTACTGTTTGATATTTTATTAATTTAACAACAGATATTTTCTTCCTCAACTCATTTTGTGTTCATCAAATTCTTAGAAGTTTCATTTTGTTTAGTTTTGTTTTTAACCAAAGAAATGTGCATGCTAAATTGACTCACTGAAGTAAAATGTGGGTGTGGCGTAAAAGCTTCATGAATATATTCATGAGCTTTTATTTTTACTTCTTGTTTTAACACCTGGAAAAATGGACTTAGAAAAACACAAATATTTAACAGATTGTCATGTAGCCAGGCAAACAGGTTTAATTTCTGCCCTGTGCTACTACCGCTATGCAATACCACAGCAGTATTTCCTTAACAAGACAGACTGGAAAAAAGAGAAAAAAGGAAAATGAAATTCTCCTCTGACAGTAGTTTCTGAGAATATGAAACCCCCCACGAGTCTCTTCTCTAACTAACATATTCACAATAGCAACCCATATTGAATGCTTGTTCTGTAACAGACATGCATCTTACAGGAATCATCTCATTCGATCCTCACAAAAATCCATGAGGTAGATACTATTATTATCCCCACTTTACAGATAGGGAAAGTGAGGCGTAGAAAGGTTAAGGAAAGGATCGCTGCACCACTCATCAGGGGAACCCTGGCACTCTGATTCCAGACATCACACACTTAACCCCTGTGCCTCCCTCTTTCTTATGTTATTTCATTCAAAAGAATTTCATAGACTCCCACTCTCATTCAAGAATTAGAAGAAGATATTTGTCTAAAAACACATTCCCCCACTAGAGTAGAAGCTCCAACAGGACAGGAGCTTTGTTCTGTACCCTGCTATATTCCCAGCTCCTAAAACAGTGTCTGTACTGTTTGCATTCAGTAAATACGTGTTGAATGAACAAATTAGGGAGATCTCTGGCATTTCCGAGAGAATATTCTCAGAATGGTGAGTCAATACCACACACAGCCAATTGGCTTAAGAATTCCCAACGTCTGGTGCAAGCAAGTATAAGCTACTTACTTTTCTCTGTTTGATATTTTTCTATCTTTCTCACAAGACTAGGCATAACCGTTTTGACGAGACTCTCCAGTACCGTCAGATCATTCTCACTTAATAGATCTTGTTTCTCTAGATGTGTCAGGCAACTTAGAGAGGTCTGCAAGAGAATCAATGGAGTCACATTTACTTGTCTACTGGTCAGCCATCATTCAATAAATACTACCTGTGTTGGCACTCTGTGCCAGGTTTTGCATTGATGAATAAAGTGCAGTGTCTGTCTTCAAGGAGTTTAATACTGTAGAGAAAAAGCTATTGGCAAATCTCTGCACAGTCTATATTAATACCAGACACCAACTATATAGTACTTACTACACACCAGGAACAGTTCTTTCTGTATATTAATTTCAAAACATCTCTCTGAAGTAGATACTGTTATTATCCCTATTTTAAAGATGAAATAACATACTAATAACCACAAAGAAGTCCAGGAACTTGTTCAAGGTCACAGAGTCAATAATCGACAGAGCCAGTATTTGAACCGCAGAAGTCTGAGGCCAAAATCTGTCCTATTAGCTTTAAGGTAGACTACCTCTAATTTAGGAGCTCTGGTAGCATAGTGCCTAAGGCACTTGACTGCTCACCAGAAGGCTGGCGGTTCAAACCCACCAGCCACTCCTCGGAAGGAAGGTTGGGCAATCCTACTTCCATAGTGATACTGCCTCGGAAACCCAAGGAGGGGTCGCTATGAGTCGGGGCTGACTCAACGGCAAACAACAACAACAACACCTCTAATTTATAGTTATATGTGATATAATAGATTAATTAGGGCACTAGCAAAACAGACGTGCCAGAGAAAAAAGAAGAAGAAGAAGGAATGCCCATGAAGTGAATTAAATATAGACAAGACAAGACATATTCTATGGATGGACTCGAAATTCTTTCATTTCACTTTAAGGTTTGTAGCCTAACCACAAGCCAAGTAGTTCTTCCAGTGTGGCTCTGCTCCACACTTACCCCATAAGATAATCACTGAAGTCTGGGTGTCAGAGCACCTTGCAATGCCCTACTGGGGGAGCTGACCACCTACATTTGCCAGCAGTTAAACCAGTCTGGATAATCATGCAAGCTCTCTAACATTGTCCCACAAACCAAAACCGAAAACAAACTCATGCTGTGGAGTCAATTCTGACTCACAGCAACCCCTCCTTGGCTTGTTTCCAAGGCAGTATCTCTACAGAAGTAGATTGCCCAGTCTTCCTTCTGAGGAGTGGCTGGTGGGTTTACTAGTATAAATATTAGTGGGACGGGAGAGAGAGTGCAGACCTCAAGAAACCGGACCAGCCGGCCACCACAAGATGCAGGGCTCCTTCTCTGGAAGATCCCCTGATAAACTGAATGCCTTTTAGAGTGACTCCAGGTCAGTTTTTGGTCTCTCTGTGCAGTTATTCTGAGGCATTGGCTCTCTTGGATCTGAACTGAGACACTTTGTGTGACACTCACACAAAGAATCAGGAAACTTGCCTATGTGTGTCCTTGATTTACTGAAAATAGCCACATTTTATCTATTTTAAGTTGAGGTCCAGGTAACTAGGATTCAGGGCTGCAGAGTGACAAGTCAAACCCTGACCACAACATAGCCAGGTAGGTGATCATAGCCCCAGAACCAATCTTGTAACCCTTTTTAATGTGTGATTGTATATCCCAATCATGGTCTTTTCACCATCTCTCGGGAAAGTCCTACCTGCAACATTGATGAACTGACCTGCCCCCAATCATGATTTTGTGATGATTTCCTTTGTTTTCTATCATACATAATTGGACTCATAGCAGTGAGTCAGCAGAGTCCATTTGGCCTCTGTGCTGTGTGCATGTTTCCCTCATCCTGGTGATGTCTTTGTTTTGTCTTTGTCCTGTTTAAGTGGCATAGTGCCTAAGGCATTTGACTGCTAACCAGAAGGCTGGCAGTTCAAACCCACTAGCCACTCCTGGGAAAGAAGGTTGGGCAATCTACTTCTGTAATGATACCACCTTGGAAACCCAAGAGGGGTTCTCTGAGTCAGAATTGACTTCATGGCAGTGAGTTTTTTGTTTGTTTGTTTTAACACGGCCATGCTTAGTAAATCAGTAGGGGAGGATCCTTCCTTGACTTTCCCTAGCTTCTGGTGGTGGTTGTCAAACTGGAATTCCTTGACTTGCAGCTGTGCCACACCAACATCTGCTCTGTCATCACAAGGCATTCTCCCTATGTGTCTATGTCCACAGCCCTCTCTGAGACAGGTAGGGCATCAAACTGACTGAATCAAGCAGCCTCTGACTCCCTATTCTTGGAATAGTTATGTGGCAGACCACCACATTGCTGCTGGTGACAGAACTACTGGTGATGGAACAAACCAGGCCTTCAGGCAAAATAAATTACATTTCAAAGCCCCATAGGCTTGACCACTGTAAAATGCTGATAAACCTTCAAGTACCTCAGCAGGTGCACAGCATGCTCAACTTGACTGACAAAGTGACCTTCTACCAGGGGCAGTCAAGAATTGGAATCCTTTGTTGTTGTTGTTGTTGTTGTTGTTGTTGTTATGTGCCCTTGAGTCGGACCTGACTCATAGCGACCCCTCCTTGGGTTTCCGAGGCAGTATCACTATGAAAGTAGATTGCCCCACCTTCCTTCCAAGGAGTTGTTGGTGGGTTTGAACCGCCAGCCCTCTGGTTAGCAGTCCAGTGCCTTAGGCACTATGCTACAAACCAGGGTCTAGAGACATCATCCATGCACCCAGCAGCTTTTATGACAGGTTCCATCTTTGTTCAGATAGAATGTATCTTGGCTACTTCCTGTGTGCACACCTGGTTTTCATAACCCTACATTTTTCTCAGAAATCCCCACCCATTTTATGAATAAAGATGATGGCTTATTTCCGCCCACCTAAAACCATTTATCAACCACTTGTCTGTCAGTTTGTCATACTGTGGCAGCTTACATGTTGCTGTGAGGCTGGAGGCTATGTGACCAGTATTTCAAATACCAGCAGGGTCACCCATGGTGGACAGATTTCAGCAGAGCTTCCAGACTAAGACAGACTTGAAAGAAGGAAGGGGCCATCCATTTGTCAAAGAATTGGCTGGTGAAAACCTTATGAATAGCAGAAACACTGTCTGGAATATTACTGTAAAACAACCCTGCAACTGTCTTCTTTCCGTAGAATGGCTGGTGGGTTTGAACTGCCAGCCTTCTGGTTACCAGTCAGATGCCTTAGGCACTGTGCCACCAGAGCTCCCTCAGGATCCGAGGGACCCCAGTAGCAGCCTTCTTATAAGGACACTAGTCATATTGGATTTCAGAACACTTAATTGTGCTCATGAGGAACTTGTACATAGACCAGGAGACTGTTGTTCGAACAGAACACAAGGATACTGTTGTTGTTGTTATGTGCCATCGAGTCGGACCGGACTCATAGTGACCCCTCCTTGGGATTCTGAGGCGGTATCACTACAGAAGTAGATGGCCCAACCTTCCTTCCAAGGAGTGGCTGATGGGTTTGAACCACCAGTCTTCTGGTTAGCAGTCAGTGTCTTAGGCACTATGCTACCAGAGCTCTGAAAATCAGGAAGGGAGTGTACATCAGGGTTGTATCTTTTCACCATACTTATTCAATCTGTACACTGAGCAAATATTTCAAGAAGCTGGACTATATGAAGAAGAACACGGCATCAGGATTGGAGGAAGATTCATTAACAACCTGCCATATGCATACGACACAACTTTGCTTGCTGACAGTGAGGATGACTTGAAGCACTTACTGGGGAAGATTAAAGACTACAGTCTGCAGTATGGATTATACCTCAACATAAAGAAAACAAAAATTCTCACAATTGGACTAATAAGCACCATCACAATAAGTGGAGAAAAGATTGAAGTTGTCAAAGATTTCATATTACTTAGTTCCACAATCAACACCCATGGAAGCAGCAGTCAAGAAATCAGATGACGTATTGCACTGGGCAAATCTGCTACAAAAGACCCTTTAAAGTGCTGAACAGCAAAGATGTCTCTTTGAAGACTAAGTGCTCCTAACACAAGCCATGGCATTATCAATCGCCTCATATGCATGTGAAAGCTAGACAATGAATAAGGAAAACCAAAGAAGAGTTGATACTTTTGAGTTGTGGTGCTGGTGAAGAATACTGAAAATACCATGGACTGCCAGAAGAACGAATAGATCTGTCCTAGAAAAAGTGCAGCTGGAATGCTCCTTGGAAGCAAGAACCTACTTTGGTCATGTTGTCAAAATGGACCATTCCCTGGAGAAGGATATTAAGCCTGGTAAAGTGGAGGGTCAATGAAAAAGGAGAAGGCCCTCAAAGAGATGGATTGATACAGTGGCTACAACAATGGGCTCAGGTACAGCAGGGATTGTGAGGCTGGCACAAGACCAGGTAGTGTTTTGTTCTGTTGCGCTAAGGGTCACTATGCGTCGGAGCCAGCTCATAGCGACCCCTCCTTGGGATCTGAAGCGGTATCACTGCAGAAGTAGATTCCCCAACTTTCATGATCTCAAGTTCATTACTATAAAGACCCCAGGAGCTCTGGTGGCATAGTGTCTAAGGCATTTGACTGTTAACCAGAACGCTGGTCATTCAAACCCACAAGCCACTCCTCAGAAAGAAGACTGGGCAATCTACTTCTGTAGAGAGACTGCCTTGGAAACTCAAGGAGGGGTCACTATGACTTGGAATAGACTTGACAGCAATGAGTTTGATTTTGTTTTGTTTTTTTTTTTGATAAAGACCCTATTTCCAAGTCACATTAACAGAATCCAGGGATTGGGATTTCAATATATATATGTATCTTTTTGGGAGTCACAATTCAACCAATAACACTTGGTATTTTAAAAGAAAAACAATCTTTGAAGTACTCCTGAGGAAAAAAAAATCACAAATCAGTATTATTTTAATATTGAATTACATGTAGGGTGGCAAGCACCATAATCTTTTCAGTGTGTGGTAGTTCAGTTTGTATGTCAACTTGGCTGGGCCTGGTTGAATAGCTGGGCAGCTGGATGTAGTATTCCCCATGATGAAACTGGAATCAACTCAATGGTGGAATCTACTGTGAGCAGCTGAGTAGCTACCTTAAGGAATGTGGTCTGCTTCCTATAT